CAAATACTGCCATATTACATGAATAAACAAGAGGACCTACACCTACGAAATTGGGTAAACTCAAATCGAAAGTCGAAATTGAGTATTTAATATTATACGCATATCCATATCGTAGTACCTAATGTATTATATAAATGTTGCTATTTTTYTATTTTCCTATAAATAGTTTATAAGAATCGCAGTAAATAAGTCTTAAGCCAAAAAAAGTATATATATATAATATACATTGTAGAACAATATTTAAAATAAAATTCAATAATTMTAATGAATAAGTCACTCAATATCTATTTAAAAAATCTAAAATATTATTTATACAAAAGCGATATATATATATAATATAATAATTTTTTCTCAGTTTAAGTTGAGATTTTACCAATATTGGTAATAGTATCTACAATAAGACTATTTACTAATTTTATCAAATAAATTATTTAGTTAAAATTTATATTAATATACTAATTTGGAACATTAGATTGTGTATTACATCGTATTTTTCCTTTTACCTAATTATGTACCGGATTTTTTCACCATTAATTTTTTATGGTTCAGACTTTTTTACTCAGACCCACTCACCTCGGACTTTTTGGTGATCTTCTATAGTTTTTAAAGGGGATGTGATACAAATTTATAACAATTATCTATTACAACTGAGTTTATACAAAAATAGTTTGATATGATTATGTACATATTGCTTTTAAATATTACAGCAGTATATATAATATTATAATTATATTAATTTCTCGTAATTTTAAGCGAATGCCAGGATACATGTTTAATAATTTACTATAATCATAATATCTACATTATTATATTTTTTTAATGGAATTATAATTATACCTATTATGTTTGTACGGCGACTAGTTGCATTAGAAATTATTAATTAGTATAGCTAYTAATCAAGTATTACTGATATTAGGTATACCAGCTATATGTATGCAAGGATATTGTTGTATACATATAATATACCTACCCGTAAATCATTACATATAAATAGATTGTAGATACTATAACTATATAAATACTACTAGAAGTATAGTGTGTAAGTTTTTTTTTCTTGCTCTGCAGTAGGTAGCATTTTTTTATAATGTCCTCCAGACTCTATAATCTACATATTCCTGTAATCCTGTATCTATATATTTTCATACTGACCTATATACATGAGTACCTATGTCTCCTATCATTATTGAGTCAACAATGGGAAATAAAATGGGAATCCAAGAAAAATGGTTCTTACCAACAAACATTAAACATTCAATGATTTTACTCAAATTATTGATATTATTTTTTATTTATTTTAACATATGTATTTCCATGCTTTTCTTCTTCTTCTCGTGTGGCCGACAAAACTCATATCTATCTCTGACCAATATTTTATAAAATCAATTACTCGATCAGTCAGTGTATTAAACAGATCATTTTTATTTTTACACACTTTTCTTAAGGTCGCTTTCACGTCTGTTTGTCAGTAATCAAATCTTGCGCGCTCGATTTGAGGCACTTTTTGACGATGAAAAATTCTGAAAATTGGTATAGACCCAAGGTCTTGGATGACAATACAATAATCCGTTGTCATTTTGTGACAAAAAAAAAAAAAGTTAAAAATAAATAAAAAATAATTTTTTTTTAAACACACTTTCCTATAAAAACATATTTAAAAAAATTTAAATATATATATATTTTTTAGTTCAATTTAAAAAAATTATTTTTTATATTATATGGTGCATTCGTGCATTTCAGCAGGTGCTTATCGTCTTGTATTTCTCCACATTCGCATCTTGGATTTTCTTCAATGCCCCATTTTACAAGATTTACCTGTGTGCGGGCTGTTCTTGTCCGTATTCGATTTAATGTTTTCCAATCTCGATATGGTAGTTGATGTCCAGGGGGTAATGCTTCTTTAATCATGTCAGAGTTGGTTGATTCCTCTTTCCACTTTTCTAGGCGTTCGTTTGCTGGTATTTTTGTTAGCGGGGTTTACATGCTCCAAGGAAACTTTCTCTTGACTTGAGCCGTTTATGGGGTGCTACTTGTCCATTCATTGTGTGTCGTTCATCCATTAATTCCATGCTTTAAAATTATATAACCTAATTTATTAATATAATTTTAGTTATTATATATTTTGTACYTTTACATCATATTTATTTATTTGAATAATAATAATAATAAATTAACAACACAAAAAAATGTATAGGTACAACAATACATTATTTAGTATTGAGTTTTGAGTAACATCAAATTTTACTTATAAACTAGTTCCTAATGTTTTATAACGATTATAATTGTTTTATTACAATATAAATTTTAATGCAGAAGGTAACATAAAGGACTGGCCAAAAATTATAATTTTAATGTTAGTGGATCGTTACAAGAATATTGCATAATAATTTTTTTTTAATTTCGTACTTAAATCTATAGATTTATTTTGGTTAGTTATAAATTATAATATTATTAATAGGTAAGTTCACTATATAATTATTATTTTTAAGCAGGTAACCAATAATCATTTAGTAAATGTATTTAATTGTAATATACTATAATACAATACTTTTTTTTTTTATTAGCTTCCAGTAAAAACAATTATAGCTCGACAATTATATAAATTATAAATACAATACTTATTACTTTAATCTTTATCATTGTTAAGATATAATAAAATTTCATTTTCTTTAGTTTTATTGATACATTCATTTTTTTATATAGTTTTTATTTATATGACACTGTATACATAGGCGCCCGCAGGGGGAGGGGCAAGCTGGGGCATTTGTCCCCCMTGGCTTTTTCAAAATATTTTTTTTAATTGAATGTTTTAAGATAAATTACTATATACTATACAAAAAATTTAAAGTATAAAATAAGTTGTAATATAATAAAATATAATATATTGTATACGAGTATAACAATAAAAAAGGTTATTATTTTAAAACACCTAGTAAAATTATAATATTTATCTTCAAATCCTAACATTGCCCCCCCCCCCTAGAAAAATTTCTGCGGGCGCCTATGACTGTATAATATTATATTCATAAATATTCTAATCAAATTTATCTAACTAAAGATTATTTAGATATTTCGCGTTTTTTTTTCTTGGGTACTTAAACACTTGTAAATTTTTCAGCCGTGTCACGAGTTTATTAATAATAAAATAAATTGGAAACTATAAAACGTATAGGGTATGCATTATCATGTGTACGTGGGATCACGTCTGAGATGACTTACGAAATGTGTCGAGAGCCTTTTTTTCTAGTCGTCACGTAAATGCACTTCAGACCCTGAAGTACAACCATTGATTTTAGTATATTCTAAAATCAATGGTACAACGAATATGCGATCCTAAGTATCTATATATCTAATACAAATCATAATAATAAATCTTTTGTACCTATTTTAACGGATTAGTTTTTTTCATAGGTGTTCTTTGTTTTAGTCGTACCTTCGTACCTACGCGTAAACGATTTTTCAGTGACGTCCAAAATAAGTTGTTTGTCGTAAACTCGTAATAGTATATAGGTACTATATACCAACTCATACCGATATAACGGATATATCATATTACCATAACCATATAGAAACGATATAATTATCTATTAATCATAATATTATTAAAATTATTCGAAGAGACTAATAAGGCGATAATCAATATAATACCTACTTATAATAATATGTGTCTACACAGTAAAGCAACGACTGCAATGGTTAATTAATAGTACTCACAATTAAAGAATATTTATTTATTTTTTGATGTTTAATAGTTTAATACACGCGTTTCAAATTAAATAAAGAGGGATTTCTGATTTTGAATATTGTTAGAAAACATTATTGTTATTTAATAATATGATAAAATAATGTTGTATACCTAATTGAGTGTAGGTGTATTGAATTTTATTTCCACCAATATTTATTTTTTTATCCTTAAAACAATAATAGATCTATTGTTTAAATTTTTTTGCTGTAGCTCGTAGCTGCCAATTTTTTTAAGGTGTACAACATAAATTAATATATTTTTTAATTTAACTAAATATTTAAAACTAGTCGGTAACATTTTCATATTTGATATAACAGTATTTTATATTTTAGATAAAAATATGTAAGTATACATTTATTTAATTATAAATAGGTATATCATATGTATTATAAACCTATTATATTGTACAGGTACCTTATACGCTAAAACCTTGATTTTTTAATTAAATACAGGCATATTTTCTCTGAGAACCCAGAGAACCACATATACCTAATATAGTAAATAAAATATCACCCTATTAGAATTTAATAGTATTAGRCGTTAAATATTATAACTAAAAACTAAGATTAACTAAAACTTAGAACTTGTAAAATTTTGAATAGGTAAAAACTATAACAGTTTATAGTTTAGTAGGTATTATAATAAAATTGTATTGTTCGTTTTTAATTTTATCAGCGTAAATATCAACTGATTAAAGGGAAAAGTCAAAAGTCCATAATATTATAAAATTAACAATAAAAATATTTCTTGTACGTAGATGGGTACCTAATTAGTAAAAGGTCAACAGTATAATAATGAGATATTGGAACGAGTTGGTACCTTTCAGAAATTATTAAACGATATACGATAGGTATTATAGCCATTAAGTCAATGCCCAATAAATAGGTAATACAGTGTAGTTCATGTTAAATATAATATGATCTGGTAAATTACCGGCCAAACATCTTTAATTGGGGAACTTAATAATTGTATATACCTATTTAATAATCAGGGCGTACAACTATCAAGATTATATGTTATTTAAAAACTTAAATGTTTTCTTTAATTACCCAACGGATTCTTTACTATTAATCCAGATAATTCGTAAAATACCATACATATGTACCTACCTGTATATGAGTATAATTAATAACATATTATCGATTGAGTAGTTTGACGTAATTTGTTTACATCTAAAACCTACATAATATTACATATTGTATAAAAAAAAAAACTATTACCAACACCTGTTGAATCCCATTGATATTGTTATCAATTATTTTATTTTCAACGCGAGTGTCGTGACTCGTGACTGCAGTCTGCTCTTCAACGACATTCAGAATTCAGATCTTAGAATTTACATCAGTGATTACTGAATGTATTATCGTTTTTTAATAGTCGCACCATACACATTTTGATTCTAGTAATTGCTGAGATCAGTCTTGAGGTTGAAGAGTGTCATTTAGAATCTCTGTATTGCCTGTATCGGTAAGGATTAAAGGTAAGTTAAATAAATAGTATCAAATGTTTTGCATTTACCTYTATCATAATGTTATTTCAATCTTTTTTTTTTAGAACCGCCAACATGAGGTCAAGAGTAATTAGCCTAATGGATACTTTGAATTCAGTTTCATGTAGATGTCCCTCTCATTCCAATTTAGGGGCTCTACCTTCAAGGCTCAGTACTAGCGTGGATCAAAAAGAGTACGCTTTTGAAATGGCATGCTCAACTATTCGGTATGGCCCTGGTGTTACCAAAGAGCTGGGTATGGACATGGTTAATATGCAAGCTAAACGTGTGTGTGTCATGACTGATTCAAACTTGGTGAACTTGCCGCCAGTAAAAGCTGTTTTGGACTCGCTCACCAAAAACGATATTAAATATGACCTTTATGATAAAATTAGAGTGGAGCCTAAYGAGAAAAGCCTTGAGGCTGCGACAAACTTTGTGCGTAATTTGGAGTTTGATGCATTCATAGCTGTAGGAGGTGGTTCTGTCATGGATACATGTAAGGCAGCCAACTTGTACTATTCTGATCCTGAAGCTGAGTTGTTGGATTATGTTAATCCTCCCATTGGAAAAGGAAAACCAGTAACTGTGCCATTAAAGCCATTGATAGCTGTACCAACCACCACTGGTACTGGAAGTGAGACTACTGGCGTTTGTATTTTTGATTATGAAAAGTTGAAGGCCAAAACTGGTATTGCAAATCGGGCATTAAGACCTACTTTAGGCATTGTTGATCCCTTGCATGCATTAAGCCAGCCAGAAAGAGTTTGTGCTTTTAGTGGTTTTGATGTATTTGGCCATGCATTAGAATCATTTACAGCTGTACCATACAACGAGAGGTCTCCACGTCCAACCAATCCAATTTTAAGACCTGCATACCAGGGTCGTAATCCTATTTCAGATGTTTGGGCTCGGTATGCATTGGATGTCATTAAGAAGTACTTCAAAAGGGCTGTATACGACCCTGAAGACTTTGAAGCACGTTCTAGCATGCACTTAGCCTCTACAATGGCTGGTGTCGGTTTTGGTAATGCCGGTGTCCATTTATGTCATGCACTGTCATATCCAATCTCAGGAAATGTAAAACAATATCAAGCCACTGACTATGTTACTGATCATCCAATTATTCCTCACGGGTTAAGTGTCATCATGTCTGGGCCAGCAGTGTTTGAGTTCACATCTTCAGCTAGTCCAGAACGCCACATTGAAGGCGCTAAATTGCTGGGTGCTGATGTCAGTGGTGTTAAAAATGCTGATGCTGGGAAGTTATTAGCTGATGTCATTCGAGGATACATGCAAGACATGAAAATCGATAACGGTTTGTCAGCTCTTGGGTATACTAAAGACGACATACCCGGGTTAGTGAAAGGTACTTTACCACAGCATAGAATTACAAAGCTTGCTCCAAGAGAACAATCAGAAGAAGATTTAAGTCTGCTGTTTGAAAATTCATTAACTGTTTATTAAGAACCAATGTTATCTTTATGTAATTTTATTGTTGTTGAATTTTAAAATGTTTAAACAATTTAGTTAATTGTACTACCATTAATAATTGTTTTATTTGTTGTTTGTGTACAAGATTTATTAGTAAACAGTGTGGAAATTGTAAAATATATTTTTACCCCATCTACTTATAACATCTATCTAATTTTATTTTGTTACAGATATTTATTTCATAAACTTATTAACTAGGTAGTCAAGTTTAAATTATAATATACTCAAATTGATAATAATTATAATGTACAGTATACATTTTTATTTTACCATTTTGGCCGTTACTCTGTTGAAATACCTAATATAAATCTAAGAATACTATAAAG